CCCGCCACTGTGTGGAGGAGGTGAAGAAGCAAAGGGACACTGCAGCTGACAGTTCGGCACTCTCTCCCTCCGAGCTCTCAAGTGGATGGCTAGGTGACATCCAACGACTGTCAAATTGGAAATGGCAGTCCTACAAAACAAGGTCCTGCTGGCCAGGCTCCTGCCACCCAGCCTCTGGAGATTTCCATCACAGATATAACTAGGAAAGACTCCAGAAATCCAACCTCCAGCTTGCATGTATGTCCTTGTTGGTTCCCAGAAATGGTTTAGGGGACTGGTTTCTGGCTTCAAGGATGCCCCAGGTAGAGAGACATAGGTGTGCACGTCTGTTTGCGTATTCAGAGTACACTGCACACCCAGACAGCACACTGACTGGGTACTGTCCAATGTGCTAAGCACCTTGCTAAACGGAAGAGGACATGACTTCTCAGATGGTATCAATAATAAGAATTAATAAAATGAATCTTTCGGGAAGGGACCCAACATTTCACAGAATTAAAGAATTTTGAAGGGAAAAGCTGTGATGATAAGCTGCTCGGCCTCCAAAGAGGAAATCAAAGTAACCCTTGAGTTCGGAGGTTTTGCTGGCAAACTACGAGCTAATTGTTAAAGCCAACAACAGTGACTCCGGCCAGATTCAAGTGGACTGTAGATAGCCGGAATTGCAGAAACTCCAGCCTTGGAGGCGGGGTGTCATTCATCATCTTGGGAAAGTTAACCGGAAGGGCATGGATGGGAGTCGCAGAGGGAGTTGAGGAGGATCAGTTTACCAGGAGCTACTTTTTTAAGGAAGGTTCTCCTACTCCCAGCAGACCAGCCAAGCATGCACCCGGGGTGTTCCCTAAGGAATGTCGGGTTGTGAAGCAGGCACTTGCTTCTCTCGAGATGCTCGACGGCTGAACATCACGACTTCCTGAGGCAGCTCAGTCTGGTAGATGAAGTGCCACCACCCCTCAAGCCTACAGTGAGTGTGGCTGGGGACAGTGCTCTTCGAAACAGCAACATCCCTGCACACTCTGAGCCACAGTGGACCTGGAGCGTCCGTGAGTCCGTCTAGCTTCACATACGCACAAGAACTTCCGTAGCTCACCTCTGCCCTTGTTGGGAACTTGGATGGAATGCACTACTGGATTTCAGTGAGGAAGAAGTCTCCCTGACTCCATCAACACACAAACGTATACATGAGGTTTTTATCCTTCCTAACTCCCTTGGCCTTCTGCTTGCAGATGACATCACTGCCAAGCCATCTGCTAATCCGAATGACTAGTACCAAACTATTGGAATCATTTAGAGGAGAGGGGAATTAAACATTTTAAAATATATATATTTCTGAAAAAACATCCTTTCTCATCATCCTAAGTTATTGACAGGAAGTGTCTCAAAAAAAAAAAAGGAGAAAAGCAATTATAACATCTCAGTGCTGGACACAAGTGTTGGAAACCCATTTTAAGTTTTCTACTGAATTTAGTTGGCCCACAAGGCTGGAACTATGGCTTCCCCACTTTTTCATATGCAACTATCCCCACCACCACCACCCACCTCAAGTCATTCTCAAGGTCTCTGTTGGATTCTTTCGAGTTTCCTCCAAGTTACAGTGCCTCCAGTCACCCAAGAAAAGTCACCTCTTCATCATCTTGCCAGGAAAAACTGGTCCCCTTTCTGCTACTCTCCAACTTGAAAGTACACATGAACACTCACAGGCGTATTCATGTACCTTCATGTACCCAGGTGCACACACACACACACACACACACACACACACACACACAGGTGAGCTCCCTCCCTGAGACCTAACTCAAATGCAGGACCTGCCATGTCCCAGGGAAACCATGCAGTTACTTGTTCCCAAGCAAGGTCCAGTTGCAGACACCTTTGAAAATGCTTAATCTGTAGACCCCAGGCCCTCCGAGTGCCTGCCATGCCCCCACGACAGCAGTGCTGGCCAGTGGTGGTCAGCTCCCCTGCCCTTTGTTTTCCAGGTGGTGAGGATGTGGGCATGCTTGTCCATGCTCCACCTCGCTGGCATCCATCACGGTGTCCTATGACCCTGCTAGCCATCCTGTTTCATCTCTGACACTTCAATCGGGATGGAGTCATGATCAGTGGGTCCTTAGCCAAGCCTTTGGCCACATGCTGCAGGCTCAGGTCTGCCCTTGAGGACCGTCCTTCTGGTCCTTTCCAACTGCTGGGGCAGGAGGCCTTTGAAAATGGGCACCAGAGACCCAGGCATCTGGCTCAACTTGTTGTTCAAATGTGAACCATGACAGCAGGGACATTTGTCACCTCTGCAGGACGCTGCTGGGCACCTAGGGACAGGGAGGAAGGGGCTGCTTTCCACAGGAATCTGAGCTGTGCTGCCAGCTGGGCTTTTTCCACTCATCATTTCTTGGTGCCTTCAGTTTGTTTTGGGGATTTGGGTGGGAAGAACTCAAGAAAGGCTTGAGATGGAATGGAATTTCTCCACATAGAGGGCAGCTTGGCACCCACGGGACTCCCCCGATGAATCCAGGGGATGGGTGTGGAACCCTTCCCAGAGGCAGAGAACAGCTTTTAAAGGCCAAAGGCAAGGGGGAGGCCAGGGGAGGGCCAGGTCTGGAGCCCTGAGTGCAGGTGCAGGTTAGTAAAGGCCCTCCCACTGCACTGCCACAGACACTTGTAGAAAAGCATCCTGTCACCTGTTGGGGAGAGGAGGGCGACACAGGGCCAGGATGAGGCCACACCTGTCAGATGGAGGAACTGTCCTGTGAGGATGGAGGCCACACACAGCCCAACCAGCCAGCGATTGGGCCTTCTCCCTGAAAGGAAGTGCTGGGGTCCCATAGCCACGGCAGGTATGGGGACAATCAATGTTGTGTTAATTTGGGATTGTGACTGAATTTTCCAGCAGCAGTGAGAACCTGGCTGCTGTGTATCTGGTAGCCCTCTGGGTCCCCATTCTTGCTGGAAAATGCCTTGTGAGGCTGTTCCACCAGCTCCCCAACTGGGGGACCGTGGCAAAGGCAGGTCAGCAGTGGTCCCTGAGGCCCAATCGAGGGCACCTGTGGATGGGACCGTCTTGTCTTTGTCGTCTTCTTCAAACAGGATCTTTTTTGAAAATGAGTCCTTGTATAAGTGGCTGACTTAGAGATCTCAAAGTAAGTTGATTGTGAATTTAATGGGTTCCCTACATCCAATGACAAATGTCCTTAGAAGAGAAAAACATAATGGTGGCTGGTCCACAGCAATATGGAGGAAAAGGCCATTAGAGGATGAAGATGGGATTAGAACGCTGAGGCCATGAACCTGGGAACACCTGGAGCCACCAGGGGTTGGGAAAGGCCGGGCAGGGACTCCCCAGAGCCTGTGGACTGTAGTTGGTGTAAGCCACCAAGTTGGTAACTCGTGGCAATACTCGAAGACTGACAGGTATGGCAGCAATTGGGAGCACTAGCTAGCTGCTGTTGTCCCACACCACCTGCCATGGCTGTCTCAGTGTCTGCCACGCTGTCCCACGGCGTCTGCCACAGCTGATGCACACCTTCCTCAGGGTTCAATGCACACACCAGCGCTAACCATCATCTATCTTCCCGACAGTCCCCCTTGTTGGCCTTGAGCCTTTGCTAACCCAGTCCCCACCCCACAAAAGCTCTGTCTGCAATCCCCATGTCCAAGTATCTGAGCCCCAAGCTCCCCAAGTGAAATCTCACCTTTGCGTTCTTCCCCAACACTGGCGCGAGTGGCCTGCAGCTCCATTGAGCAGCCGACAGAGCCTCTCATGGCCGCACACAGGCCCATCACTCACTGGCAGCTAGGAGATGCCAATTTGAGGAGCTGAGCATGGGCCATGCAGAACACAGTACAACAGCGGGCCACACAGTTGGCTGGCTTCTGAGTCTGTATGACAGCTCCCAGCCCTGGGACTCTGGGCCTGTATGGCCAAGCAACGACATCCAAGGGCGCGTGATCTCCAGCACAGCCCAGCGGGCAGTTCCATGGGATGAGGAAGAGTGGAGTTGCAGAGAATCAGCCACACCATGTTCCTCCCTTGTGTCCATCCACCCCCACCCTCCTGCATCCCAGCATTCCCCATGTGGATCTCAACCCTTGACCTTCCTTGACAAAATCATCTTCTCCACGTGCAATCAAACAACCCAGCAACTGTAGGCACAAATGTCACCCTGAGTTCTACCCTCCTGAGGAACAGAAAACCCGGCTCTTGCCCGGAGCCACTCTCGAGGGGTGCGAAATGCGCCTCCCCCCGTCCACGCCCAGGAACTAAGACGGAGTCAAAGTCAGCATGGGGACCCCATCTGTGCCGGACTCACAGGGCCCTGCAGCATCCCACAAACAGCCCTTGCTTCTCTCTCTCAACACTTTGCAAGCCAGGCTGAGGCCGGACGCGTTGCTGGGGAAAGAGGGGAGATGAAGGACAGGTGGCAGATGGAGGTCCAGCACAGTTAAGCCCCCCAGCCCTGGTGGCCCAGTGACCTGCTGCTACTTCAAACTGTTCTTTCTCCAGGAAACAGCCTCCGAAAGTCTTTACCTTACCTCTAGTGTAGGCCTCTCACACACTCCACGTCATTGGCAGACCCTCTGGCTTCACCTGGAGCTACTCAGATTCCCACAGGGCACAGATTCCTGAGCCACGTATGGACCCCTCATAGCCTCCCAACAGCACTGCACTAAGAACCCCAGGAGCTTCCTTCTCAGGCGGGCTGGGGGTACAGCCATGCTGAGCTGGGGTTCTCACACTCCCATCTCCATGGTGTCTCCAACAAGGCCTGGCCTATGTGGCCAGCACGTGAGCGCCCCTCTACTCAAAGTTCTCCCTGTCCTTGCCCACGTGCTCCATTGGCTCTGATTGTCTCACAACGTCACTTGGCTGTCCTCACCCCTGTGCCTGACCCCTGCTGGACCATGGGCTGACACCTGCCTATCCCGCATCTCCAGCAACTAGGCCGGGGTCCGATGCCTGTGCCTTTGCCTGTCCAAGCTGGACTTGCCCCCATGGTCAGCCTTACCTGCTATATCTGAAGAAGACTGCCCGAGGGTCCTGGCTGGGCCTGTCCCCCTAGGTGGAGGAGGGTGGCAGCTCCTTGTCAGCACCCAGGGTGGCCTGCGCAGTCTGCTGGCTCGCAGTGGGCCCAGGCTGTGCAGGAAATCCCCTCTGTACCTGTGGGGGCAGAGAAACACACACATGCAATGACCAGTCTAGAAGACACAGGGTCAACCTCAGGGTCTGATGGGGTGTTGGTAGAAGCTGGGCTCCACCATCAGCTAATGGGTGAGTCTGCGTAAGTGCTGAGACTGCACGCCTCCCGCAGTCCCTTGCAGGGAGCAGACACGCGGCACTCTCGGGAGGTTGTCCGCAGGGAAATGATGCTAATGAAACATTTCCCATCCCGCTGGGCACAGAGCAAGTGCTTGGCCAAGGCTGGCAGCTTCCGTTAAAGTTTCAACTGTGTGGTCTTGGGGGTGTCGTGCAGTGATGGGAATATTCTGAAATCCCCATGGGCCAAGATGGCAGTTCCTGACCCATGTGGCTGATAGCGTTTGAAACACGGCCAGTGGGTCTGAGAACAGGATCTGCAGAGTGTATTAAGCTGCCGCAAGTGGCTGGTGACCACCCTACTGGACAGCATGTTCCCTTCTGCACCTTCTGGTCCAGTTGTCCCACAAACAAAGTCTTCCCCTCACAGAGGGAGACCACAGCAAGGACAGGGACCCCCACTGCCGCTGCACAGGATCGTTTTCACACACACTATCATCACACACTCTCTGTAGCCCCATACATCATGCTCAGGGGTAGAGCTACATGCAGTGTGTAAACAGACAGACAGACAGACGTGTGTTAGCAGATGCTCACAATTTGTCACTCACGAGGAAGGGGAGTACCAAACAGACCATCAGTCTAGTCTAGTGCCCCTGCTGGCAGGTGGAAGAGCAGCTCCCACTAGCCTAGACTTGAACGAGTCCTTCCCTCTCTTTTTGTGAGCCTCTGTTCTTCCTACCCTTCCCCTGCCTGAGGCCCACAAGGGCTGCAGGTGACAGTGAGGCGACCTGCTCAGCCATCTTACTTTCTCACTTGCCTGAACCCCTGCCAAGACCCAGTCATGGTGGCCTGATGGCCAGGACTGCCTGCAGAATTTCAAGTGGAATCTGCAGGATGCAATGTCCTTTGTGGGCCTGGGGTTGCTCCGGCAGCAGTGATGAGAAAGTGACTCTTGGGTCCCCCTCATCCTGGCCCTGCCACCTCTCTTGCACGGGTCTGGGGCTGTTTTTTTCTGCAAGGGAGGAAAAGAGGAGGGACCTGGCTGGCATTGTTCGTCAAGCCGACAGGTTTCCCCCAGAGCTGGCTGAGCCAGGGGGAGGGTTGACAGACCCCTGAAGCAGTCGGGGGTCCTGTGGGAGCCCTAGGGAGAATGAGGTCAAATGCAGATGCGAGCGGAGGGAGGGAGCAGGAGACTGCTTCTCCCGCACTCGGGGCTCGCCCTGCTGCCCAGTGGTTAAACACAGCACATCTGAACAGCCTGGGGGCACAGTGATCACAGGTGGGCAGACTCCACTCAATCGAAACAGCTGGGAGACTGCTGGGAGCCCTTGAGTTCAGCTCTCACAAAACGGAATCTGGGCCCTGTTACCGTTGGGGCACTGAAAGCCTCAACTTGGCATGGTCTCCGAAGCAAAATCTTGTCCGGTCTGGGCATGAGCAGCCAGTCTAATTCCTTCTCTCCTGTGTCCCCCTTCTGCTGCCAACTGGAGTGGCACAACGCTTACCCTGGTCCGGACTGGCAGTACAAGCTGGATGCAGGAGCCATCATCTCTGCCCCAGACATACGACAGGTCATCCGGGAGCTCATCAGGGCCCCGTCCCTGGGCTGCAGATTCAGCCCTGTCCAGGTGGACTTCCCATGGCTGGTGGGAAGCCCCCCAGGGCTGCTCCTGCAGGGTGTGGGGAACCAGCCCCTCCACCTGAGCAGGCAGGGCCGGGGGCTGGGTGTGGCAGTCCTTGTCTCTCCCTTCTCTGGGCCTCTCGGGGCATAACAAGCAGAGACAAGTGGATGGCTGTTAACCCTGCAGTCTGTCTGAGCTCTAAGACCAGGTGACCTTGGGGTCGCCTGGGTCCAGAGACCAGGCTCTGGCCACTGAGCCTGCACCACAGCGAGTTGGCAAGCAGGGCCGCAAGCGCAGGGGGCAGACAAGCCCCGCCTAAACAGAAACATCACGCCAGCCTCAGAGAAGCCGCCCTGCCTAGCTTGCTCCCAGGTACTGGCCTCTCCCACACCTGGCCATCTAGGTCTGCAAGAACTCTTCCCCCCACAGCCCAGCCCCCATCCCCGTCCTCGGCAGAGAGCTCCACTACTGTGGGCTACACAGTTCATTGCTCATGGCGGAAGCTTCCTGGAACCAGTCTCTGGGTACTTCCTGTTGTACAGCTCTGTACACAGCTACAAATTAATCAATAAAATCCAATTCCATGGTCCAGCGCTTGCTCTGGGCACCGCCGAGAAACACGGCTGGTGAGAGCTCCCAGCTCCCAGGTCTCTCGTGAATGTCAGGGTCGTGAAGCACTGGAGTATGAAATTGCGTGTGTTCGTCCGTTACTGCCCTGGAGCAGGATCCCAGGCTGGCTAAGCCCTCTCCTGTAACGTGCAGTTTCATTACGAAAACAGCCATTTGCATTCCAGGGCGGGGATTGGAATGGGCCGAAAGGAGAGCAGAGTGAAACAGAATGGAGTCCTGGAGTTCCACCATCAGCTTTGAGGATGGATAGAAGCTCAACTACAGCAAGTAATAAGGGCGGGAGGCAGTGAATAGGCACAGGGGACTGCAAGGAACAGGAAGGGGTGGATGGTTTTATATCTACATACATGTGAGAGAGAATATAGAGAAATCATTTTGTCACTTACGTGAGAGAGTTCACATTCATCCAGAAAGAAGTGATTTTATCTACATTTCCATCTCAACTTCCTGCAGATCCACAGCCAGGTGGCTTAGGTACTGGGGCCCTGCCACCTGCCTGGGGGACCCACACAGCTGCCTTGCCCACCCCCAGCTGCTGCAGGTATTTGATGAAGAGCAGACAGGAAGTTTTCTCTCCTTCTATCACTCTTTCAGATAAATAGAAACAAAGAAACAGCAACGATTACAACGAAAATCCTGCCTAAAGCCAAGAATTGTACCTATGGTGGTACTGACCGGGTCTCCCTAACCCAAGCAAAGCAAACATTGCCTGGGGAAATCTGTTTTCAACTCAAACCTCAATGTCTGTCAAACCCCAGCACCCATGAGGACACTGGGACTGAGAGTGGGCATGGGCACCTGGCACAGAGATGCCAAGACTCACAGGTGCACACTCTCAGAGGCAAAACAGTCAGCATGGTCTTTTGAAGAGTTAAATGAAAATAGGAGTCCTGAGCAAGAGGTTATAAAAATGCTCAATTATTTGAAAGCTAAATTACAGGGAGCTTTTTGGAAAGAAAGCATTAATACATATTTAAAATTACATCAAAAACTCAGGCAAGCAATGAAATCCAAGAAGTAGAGGAAGAGGCTGGCGCAGCAGGCCATGCACGTCTTTAGTCCAAACGGTGCAGTGGTAACTGGATTTACCAGCCCAAAGAACACGCTAGGAAAGGCGTGAAGCTACGGCGTCAGGACGAACATCAGCCCTTACACAAAAGCCCAGGGAAGTGGATCAGAACAGAATGCAGAATCTTCAGGGGCCCGGGGCAATAGCTTAGTGGCTAAAGCCCTCACCTTGCCCGCACTGGGATCCTATACGGGTGCTGGTTCATGTCCTGGCATCCCACTTTCCTTCCAGCGCCCTACTTCTGGTATGGGAAAACAGTAGAGAATGGCCCAATGCCTTAGGACTCTGCACCCATGTAGGAGACCCAAAGGAAGCTCCTGGCTCCTGGCTTCAGATCAGCTCAGTTCCACCTGTTGTGGCCACATGGGGGAGTGAACCAGCTGTTAGAAGATCTTCCTCTCTGTATCTCCTCCTGTCTGTATGACTCCTCAAGAAGAGAACGCGGGGAGACAGCTTGGCGGCTGTGCTTGGGCGCAGATATTTTTAAGTGACGTCCAAAGCAAGATCAACAAAGAAAAAAAAGACAAATTGGATTTCATCCAATTTAAAGATGTCTGGTCTTTCGAAGACACTTTTAAGAGTAAAAAGTCAAACCAATGATTGGCTGGAAACATTTGTGAATCGTTGTGTGTGTGTGTGTGTGTGTGTGTGTGTGTGTGTGTGTGTGTGATCTACAGCAGCCCACAAGGCCAGGTCTGTTGGGACGGCAGCAGGCACCCCACACACACAGCACATCTTGACACACAGCAGCTTCTCTGACTGTGAGGGAAGTGAGCACACGACCAAGTCCCTGGTGCTGTCACCGTTCGGTTGTACAGCATGCAGACTGGATTGCACCACATGGTGTGTCCCTGAACAGAACCAGCAAGCTTCACGCAGGCACCGGGGGCGGGGAGGAAGAGAGGAGGAGAAGGAAGGGTAGGAGAGAAAGAGGAGGAGGGGGCGGAGGAAGAAGGAGGGGGAAGAGGGGATCGGGAGCATAGGTGTTTTGGCGCAGCGTGAAGCCTCCTGCCTCCAGGCCAGCTCCAGGGCCCCAGCTGAGCTAGAAATGCGAGAGTTCAGACCCCGTCCCCACCCACAGGATCTGCTGTGGCACCACAAGAAAACTCCAGGGGACCAGCGTGCCTGGAAAAGTAGAGGGAGTCCTGGGGCAGGGAGCTGGGTGGCACACAGTTTGGTGGCTGCAGAGCGAGGCTTCTGTGTCCTCTTAAGGAAAACGGGGCTAATAATGCCACCTGACTCCTGGGACCCCAAGGATCCGACACAATCATGCGTGTGATGCCCCTGGCACTGTGTCCTGTGGAGTCAGTTCATACTTGCAGCCCACTGCAGGCGCTATGTGGACCGGCTGGCAGAGCTGGGCCCCGCCACCCCCAACCACCAGTGGCTCCCATGGTCTCTTAAAGACCGTTCAGGCTCTGGATCAAGTTGACAGGAGTGGGAGAAGGAAAAAGAGGGCCAGGTCAGGAGTCAGGGTGTGGCAGGCAAGGACATCTAGAGACCTGGCTCAGAGAAGCCAGTGAGGCCAGGCCCAGAACACATGAGGGGCAGAGGAGAGCATGGGAAAACGAGACGCAGAGACATGGCAAGGCCACGTGCAGTGAGAGCTGGCTGCAGAGCTTGCCTCTGCTCGCATGTGGAGCGGCCAGCCTGCAGGGCACCGAGCACAGGAGCAGAACGCAGCAAGATGAGGTGAGGGGCTGGGGGCGGCGACCCCGTGTACCCTGCCGCTGGGTGCATGCGGTGGCACGGACACACATGAAGGTCCTTGCCCTCTATTAGGTACCAGGAGCACAGGGGCGAAGTCACCCCATGCCTCATTATCCATGCGCTTCTGTAGTTGCTAATTTTCCTGCACATGGCATACATTGCTTGCATAATTAAGAAAAAACAATAAAAGCTGTAAATAATTAACATGCTTGCTCTCTCTCTTCAGGGCTTCCATGGAAGGAATGTCTTTCAACCCACTTATTTCAAATATTTGCAGGATGTCTGGCCAGAGAATGGCACCATGGGAGCACCCGCAGGGCTGTGTGGTGCTGACTGTTGGGGAGGCTCACACAGCCCCCCAACCCAGACTCTGGCCCCCCACCAATCAGGAGCTCCTCTGGAAGGTCGGGGATGCTGTGTGCACGCTGTGCCAGCAGCAGTGAGCTAACCAGCAGCTCCAGAAGCCAGCGCAGCGGCCCCCGGCCCCCGGCCTACCTCGTGGGGTTGATCCTCAGCTTGCTCTGCCTGCTGCTTCTGCGCGGCGTCTTCGCCCTCCGAGGAGGCCGTCCCTTCTTCCCTTCAGGCTCAGATGCCGGGTGCTGGGATGTCACCCCTGGGAGCATTGGGTGGGAGAGCTGAAAACAGAGGCGTGTCGACATGGCGCTGTGCAAAGCCCCAGTGGCAGCAAAGGGATGGCCGGAGGGCTTCTCACCAGACATGCAGCAGTGGCCACCCGGCAGGCAGAGTCCTGGTCAGACCTTCTGGAACCTTACTGGGCTGAATCACAGAGACCGTGCCAACTCCTGCTCCCTCCTGCTGACCCCTCCCCAGGAGTCTCACCCCTTGGAGGCAGGCGGGCCAGGCTGGACCTTGGGTCCCCACCCCCACAGCCCCCCAGCTCTATCCCAGCACATTCCTTATGATCCCTGCAGGCTCCATCTGGGAAAAGCAAATCCACTCTCCAGGCTCAGGGCACCAGGCCCCTGTGCTTGCCTGTTGGGGGCGGCCCAGAGCCAAGGCCCCAAGACCCTTTTCCAGGTTCCCGGCCCACGCCCTTCCCAAGCAGGACTCAGGCCTGAATGGGCTCACAGTGTCAGAGATGGGAGCTACACGTGCAGGCACCAGGTAAGAGCACCGCTGCTGTTCCAAAGATGTCCGTTTTGGCCTCTGCTCCCAGGAATCCCAAGGGAGACGGGAGTGCACAGAATTATCCTCCAGGGTCCCCAAGATAACAGCTCTCTCTTTGAAGAGTCTTAGTTTATTTTATTTCATGATGTTTTGTTTGCCCTAATTCTCTGGTTTAGAATCTTGGAGCTCTCCTGAGCAATGCTTCATTTCACTTTGAGTCTCTTGTCCACAAGCTCAGGGTTCATACATCTGGCTACAGATGCTCTCTCAGCAAGTCTTAAGGGAAACGCCTCTTTCCTTGGGCATTTGTCTTTTGGGGCCGTGACATAGCAAGCTAAGCCTCCACCTACAATGCCAACATTCCATATGGGTACAGGTTCTAGTCCCGGCTGCTCCACTTTCCACCCAGCTCCCTGGGCACAGGTTCTAGTCCCAGCTGCTCCACTTCCCATCCAGCTCCCTGGGCACAGGTTCTAGTCCCGGCTGCTCCACTTTCCATCCGGCTCCCTGCTAACGCTCCTGGGGAGGTGGTGGAAGATGGCCCAAGTGCTTGAGACCCTGAACCATGTGGGTGATTCAGAAGAAGCTCCTGGTTCCTGGCTTCAGCCAGCCCAGTCCTGCCTATTGCAGCCATCTGGGGAGTGATCCAGTAGACGGAAGATCTCTGTCTCTCCTCCCTAGCTCTACCTTTCAAATAAAAATATTTTTAAAGATTAAAAAAGAAGAAACGTGTTTTTTGCCGCTTTCTTTTGGTTTGCATCTCCTGCCCTACAAGTGGTCCCCTAGTGCCCTCGGTGCCAGCTGGGGAGTCGTGATCATGGATAGCAGAGGACCCGAGGGACAGCCCACCCTTTTGGGCCTTGTCGAATCTTGCCTGCTCCACATCCTCCCTCGGCATGTGGGCCCCGGGCCATGCGGGTGCTTACCTTGGGCATCAGGGCCAGCTCTCCTGCTGAGTGTGTCCTGGTCCACTCCTTCTGGCCCACAGGCTGGGGGTTGTGGCCCTCGTCGCAGAGGGCGCCTCCCGGGAAGTACATGGCCAGGTACACAGAGGCGGCCTTCTCCTGCTGCACTGGCAGTGGCACACTGCGGCTCAAGCAACACCACGTGAGCTGGGGCTCCATCTTCAGCGAGGGGAAGGTGCCGGGGTCCCTCAAGTTCCTGGAGTTCCCTGAGTGAGGAGACAAGGCCAGCTCGGGCCGGCCTGCGACCGTAGGGAAGATGCCAGGCTTCACAGGGCAGGGGAATGTCAGCTGCAGGCCAGGCCCTGGAGGAGGCTCTGGTAGGGCATTCCCAGGCAGCCTGGCCAGCCTCAGGCTGGAGTCCCAGAGATCCGGGTAACTGCCGGAGGGCCTGGTGCTTGCTGAGGGGCAAGGATGGCTCAGGGTATGGGGCCCCACCTCGGCATCCTGGATAAAGGAGGGGCCGAAGGAGACTGCCCTGGCCCCCCAGTCCATTCCCACTTTCTCCTTCTTCCTCTGGGCATAAGCCCTGGGCTCCTGGGAGGTCCACGAGGTGCTGCCAGCCTGCCCGGGAGCTGGGCCGGGAGCTGTGCTGACAGTCAGGGCAGATCCCACAAAAGACGCCCGTTCCTTGGGCCCCCCACTCCTTCTGAGGGAGTCCTGGTCTTGCCAGGGAGGTTGGGAGCCAAACAGGGATGGGGGTGTCTTTCGCTGAGGTAGCCTAAGGAGGTACTTGGGGGGAAAGGCGTCGTGTGCTGTGGCCCGAGGCGGGGGAGCCACCGTGGATTGATGGCCAGGGCCCATGGCTACAGCGTGCTGGGTAGACTCCTCTGAGGAGATGCCGGGGGACTCCAGGGCCTCGTCCACCTGCCTGACGCTCCCGTGCAGCTGCTCTGGGGTCTTCTGGGAGTCACTGTCCTGCTGCTGGGGCCCTGGAGAGGTAACTCTTGCAGGGACCCCTGGGGTTTCTGCCACCAGGGGCTCTGGGTTTCCCAGCCCCTCCACCTTGGGCTTCTTGCGCTCTGAGGGGAGATTCGGCTCCCCGGAACCACTGCTGGGCCATCTCAGGATGCTGCAGGCCCGGGGACCCGTGTCCTCCACACCTCCTTCCTGGCTGCGTTCTGGCAAAGCAAGCCTGGAGGCCTCCAGGTCCCCTTGTTGGAGAGGGCCAGGGGCGGGGGGCAGCTCCAGCCTCGTGCCTGGAAGGAGCAGGGGGTTCCTGCTGGCCGAGCAGGATTGGGCTTTGCTGCCCGGGGACAGAGGTGGCATGGCTCTGGTTGTCCTACAATGTTCATGGGCCCCTGCTCCGGCCTTTTCCTCCCCCAGCTTTGGGGACTTGGGCCCCAGGGATTCGTCTGGCTTGACACTTCCAGAAGCGTGCCCGTGGGCCGGGATCTCCCTGTTCTGGGCTGTTCCTTGCTGGCCCCCGACAGCCTCTTCCTGGGGAGGGGGAGGATCTGCGCCTGTCCCACCTCCCCCACTGCCCTCCCCGGCTCTCCCGTGGCAGTTGCTCTTGGCTTTCTGGTAGAACCTCTGAAACGTCTCGTGCCCATACACCTGCCACTTCTCCTGGGAAAACATCTCCAGCCGCCTCTGGCCACTCCTCCTGCGGCCGGCCACTCTGCCCTTGCTGGCGGCCCCCTCTCCTGGAGTGGCTCTTCTCCCAGCTGCCTCCTCTTCCGGGCCCAGGGTGTCCCCAGCAGGGGTCCAGGGCAGATCCTCCACAGCAGCCTGTCTGACCAGAGCACGGGGGTGCCCACTGGGGATGTCAGCCAAGGTCAGCCCCCCACGGTACCCTGAGCGACCTGGGGCGGCCCGCCTGGGGCTCAGCGGCCGAGGCTGCTTGCCAGCCCCTGTGCCCTGCGGGTCGGCAGGTTCCGGCCAAGTCCTGGAGCCCTCGACGGAGGGCAGTGAGTTGCTCCTGGTGACAGGGACGCATTCCACAGTGGTGGAGAGCTGAGTGGGGACAGAGTGGAAAAAGAGGGGCCGTGACTTGTCCAGAGGTGCCAGGGTGGAACGGGCTGGTCCCAGGGTGGCCTTCCGGCGGCCAGGCTCCAGCGCACGGATGTCGAAGTGAAAGGATCCCTTGTAGGTGTAGGGCGTGGGCAGGTCGATGCTGCCCTGCTTGGAGAGGACCGTCTTGCGGGGCCGCACGTGCTCCAGCTGGGGGTCGCCGACCACAGCCTGGTTGTGCGAGATAAGTCGAGTGATGCGCTCCTCCAGGCGCTTCTTCTCCAGCTCCAGGCTGTGCCCTGGCACGCGGGACTCTGTCTGGGGCCGAGTTCCCGAGCCGGGGCCTCCCTCTCCCTCGGACTCAGTGCTGTGCTCAGACAGGCTGTGCAGCGGGCTGGCCACCGGCTGCGGCTGCTCAGCGCTGTCGGAGCGGGACAGGTAGCCCGAGTCGGTGCTCTCACACTTCCTCAGCCGGCCCTCGGAGCCTCTGGGCTCCCATGGCTTCTCCGACAGCGTGGCCTGCTGCTGCAGGGAGCTTGGCCTCTGGTCCTGGGACGGCTGTTGCTGCTGCCGCCAGAGCTGCGTGCTGCATGGTGGCAGCCCAGGGCTCGGCACGGGGGTCGAGTCCAAAGGGGCCTCCCTGTCGGTGGGTGCGGGCCCAAGGGGCAGCTGGGCTCCCAAGGAGAGGGGTCTCTCCAGGGCCGTCTCTGCCATGCTGGCTCTGGAGGACTCTGCGGCCTTGTCACCCTCCTCCGGGAGCCCTGCCCCGGCCCCCTCCGACTCTGAGGACAGTCGGGAGTTGTTGAGGTGCGTCTGCGTCCTCCGGTGCTTGTACAGGTTGCTCTGGGTCTTAAAGGCGATACGGCAGGTGGCGCAGGGGAACGGCCGCTCGCCCGTGTGGGACCGGATGTGCTTTTCCAGCACGCTGGGCTTCAGGCAGTCGCGGCCACAGTGCGGGCACAGGTACTTGCCGGCATTCCGCACCTTGCCCGGGCTGCCCAGCGCCGGTCCCGGGCCGGGCGACAGCACCGGCAGGGCACCCACGATGCTCACGGTCCCTTCAGGCTGCAGCAGGGGGCTGAGGATGAAAGGCACCCCACCCCCGTCCAGGCTGCCGGCCGTCACCAGCGGGGCGCGGGGCTGCAGGCCCCCCGGAGGCACAGTGTGGTACAGTGGGATGGGCAGCGCCTTGAGGAACACGGTGGGTGCCAGGCCCTGCTCTGGCGGCAGGAGCACGGGGCCCAGGGTCAGGCGAGGCGAGGCCTGCCCACCCGGGGCCCCTGGGCGACCAGGCACAGGAGCGGGCTGCTCTCTGGCAGGTGTGGCAGGGCAGGTGGGTTCTGGAGCCTCCATGCCGCATGGTCTGGGACGCTGGACAACCTGCGGGCAGCAAGAAGGCTTTACTGTGTGTGTCTCTCCTCTGCCTCCCTCCCCGCCGAAGCCTGACAGCCTCCCTGACCGAGGGGGAGCTGCCTCCATCAAGCAGACTATTGACAGGTGTTAGACCGGGGTTAGACCGGGGCTGGGAGTAGCCTGTGGGCCCAGGCAGGACCAGCACCTGCTCACCGAGAGGAAACACTGCCAGGGCGGCAGCAGATGACGGCTCAGGCACTCAGGTCCTTGTCGCGGGCAGAGGCCTGGACTGTGTTTCTGGCTCTCACATTCTGTCCAGCCCTGTCCTCGTCATTGTGGGCACGAGGGAAGCAAGACAGGAGGAACTTGGCTGTCTTCCTCTCTCCCTGTCTCTTTGCCTCTCAAGTTAACCAAGACCATCGCATCCTATCACGATAGTTCTTCACACCTTGCCACCTGTGAGAAGAATTTCTGGCCTCATATAATCTGGGGTCTTATGATCTTTAAGAAAATGCTTTTTAAAAAAAGATTTATTTATTTTTATTGGAAAGGCAGATATACAGAGAGGAGGAGAGACAGAGAGGAAGATCTTTTGTATGATGGGTCACTCCCCAAACGGTCGCAACAGCTGGAATGAGCCTATCCAAAGCCAGGAGCCAGGAGGTTTTTCTGGGTCTCCCACGTGGGTGCAGGGTCCCAAGGCTCTGGGCCGTCCTCGACTGCTTTCCCAGGCCGCAGGCAGGGAGCTAGTTGGGAAGCAGGGCCGCCAGGATTAGAACTGGTACTCATCCCAGTGCCTGCAAGGTGAGGACTTTAACCGCTATGCTGTTGTGCCAGGTCCGGGAAATATTTTAACAGGTTTATTTGTTTGAAAGTCAGAGTGGGAGAGAGAGATGTTCCATCCACTGGTTCACTTCCCAGATGGTAAGCAATGGTCAGGGCTGGGCCAGGTTAAAGCCAGGAGCCAGGTGCTTCCTCCAGGTCTCCCATGTGGGTGCAGGGACCCAAATACTTGGGTCATCTACAGCTTTCCAGGGAGCCAGAGCAGAAATGGAGCATCCAGGACATGACCCAGAGCTGCATCGCCGACGTAGGACACTCGGGACTGACCCCACAGCCAGGCCAGGCTTCTAAGGGTGTGCCGACAGAGGTTCCAGGAGAGGGAGTGGGGGTGAAGGCTGCCGTTCCGTTGGGCAGTTATTTCCAGCCTTGGTGATGGCTCCTGCTCACAGCTCCCAGCCCTGAGGCTGAGCACACCCTGCCCTCTCACTGCTCCCTGCTCCTGGTGCCGGGACCACTCCACCGGCCCATGCTTTGCAAACAGCCCTCTCACAGACGTCTGCCCAGCTTGCCTGTGGACTCCGTGTGAAGTGCACAGGGGCTCAGGGCACGGGTGTGTTTTCCTGAGGTTCAAGAGCATCCTCTCACTGTACTGGGTCTCAGGGGATCTTTGCAAAGGTGAGATGGTCTGAGTCAGGCCCATGGCCAAAGCCACCATCCCAAGGTCAGGCACCATGCCGAGGCCCCTCCCCAAGGCCACCCCAGGACCTGCCAGCACCAAAGATATATGGGCCTCCATTACAGCTTCACCACAACTAGCTCTGCGTGATGACAGGACTTGTTGGGCTTAAACAAATGAGCGGGCCCAAAGAGGGTTCGCGGAGTGCCGCGAGCTTAGGATGGCGAGGTTGAAAGCATGTGCAGGCAAAGCCTGGTGTTGGCAATTCTGGCCAGCGGGGAGTGCCACTTTTGGCCAGCCCTCCTCCAGGCCTCAAGGAGCCTCACTTGACACCTGGAAAAGCTTGGGTTCAAATCCAGCCATGCTGGTTACCCGCTGAGCAGCTCAGTAGGTTCTGTCTGCTGTGGGGTCCTCACTTATAAAATGGGACAGGCGAGTGGCTCGGCATGTCAAGTCCCACGGCAGGGCCTGAGTTTGAGACATGGCTGCACTCCTGACACCCATGTCCTGGGAGGCAGCAGGGGACAGCTCAAGTGGTGGCCCGCCACCCACAGGGGAGAGCCAGGCTGACTTTCCGGCTCCTGACTTAGGCCTCAGCCGAGTGCCCTTTGCCCTTGCTGGGGATGCGAGCCTGCAGATAACATCTCTCTCTCCTCTCCCCTCTTTCTTCTCCTCCTCTTAACCGTCCCAATAAGTAAAATGTAAAAACAGATACATAAAATCAGCAGAAGCTAAAGGAAGAGAAGACTCGTCGATTCCACCAGCGCATACGTCTCCTGAGAATCACGCACCTGTGCCTGTGACAAGTCTTCAAAACCTTCGCATAGGCTCCACTCCGTGTATGCTGGTGCTTGCAGCAGAGCCAAGGCCAAAGGACCCGGGGCAGAAGGGGCCCAGCTTGGCTCACAGGGGTTGATGCTCTCCCCTGGGCTTTTGTTTCCTCATCTGCACCCTGGGGAGAACCAAGTCTTGGTGCAGAGTACTCTGCAGTGACACATGCTACAGGCACCTGCTCGGTTAAGCAACAAAGAAGAGGCCCACACTGCCTGGGACTGGGGCCGAGATTCTTCAGGGGTGAACAGAAAGCAGAGTGGAGCACCCATGGCTAGCTCAAGGCAGGGCTGAAGCGCCCCGTGGCTAGCTCAAGGCAGGGATGGAGCACCCCATGGCTAGCGGAAGGCAGGGATGGAGCACTCCGTGGCTAGCTGAAGGCAGGGCTGGCCAAGGTAGGGACTCAGGTCCAGCAGGGACTTCCTCTGCACTTGGAGGATCCCCTCTGCTGGCAGCCATGTAGTCCCAGGGCCACATTGCAGGCCGATCATTGCTTACAGCCTGGGGCACACACAATCCCGGCCACATCGTAGTTTATGATGTGAAACAATGTAACTCAGAATGCTATATTGGTGCTGGTTTTTTGTTTTTACATAATTACAACAATTAGCCAGGAAAATAACAAACAGATGCAATCCAGAATTCAAAGAAAGGGGAGGAAAGGAGTCCCACTACTGACTGATGTGCTGCTGAGACAGCGATGTGGTCAGACATTGCAGACCCACCAAGTGCAAGACGCACTTGTGTTACGGGGGCCTCTGGACTTCACTCACTAAGGGATAGCCTCCGGGGGCCCACAGGCATGGTGCAGCTTCAGGCTTGGGGTTGGCACTCTCAGCTCTGCCATTCTGCACTCGTGTTTGATGATCAAGATCGGATCCACGTGCATTCCAGCTCAAGGGATGCAGGCTGACAAGCAGAGTGCATGGCCGCCGACCACGCAACGCCCTGGAGGCTGCCCGTGCTTCTGAGGCTGGCCCAACCGCTGGCTCCAGGCACAGGGTGAGTGAAGCCCTGTCCTGTGTGGCTTGTAGGACATGGTTCACTTCACAGCAAAACTTTGAACTCTATCCACTTTGTAGTATCCTTCAGCAACTTCACTACAATTTTTCTTTTTTTTTTTTTTTTCTTCTTTCCATTCTGCTTGGAACACAGGGAGAGAAACGGAGATTCCACCTGCTAATTCATGTCCCAACTCCCTGTTCTACAGCCAGGACTGGGCCAGGCAGAAGCCAGGAGACAGTCACTCCATGCAGGCCTCCCAGCTGGAGAGAGGGACCCAGGCACCGGGTCCTCACTGCCTGCCATGTTGTGTGTTAGCAGTGCACAGGGGCCCAGTACTGCTGGGCTGCCTGCATCCCACGTTGGGGTGTCTAGTTCAAGTCCGAGTGCCTCCATTTCCAGTCCAGGGTCTTGATCATGCTCAGTCTGGGAGTTGGCAGAGAGGGCCTCGGTTGCCTGGGTCTCCACCACCCACACAGGAGTCCTGCACTGGGTTCAGACCCTGGGCTCCAGGCTGGCCCGGCTCTGACTATCACAGGCATTTGGCAAGTGAACCTGCAAGTGGAACGTTCTCTCTCTTCCTCTCTCCTCCTTTCCCTCTCTCCAAATAAAACGAAAATAAATTTTAAATTTTTTAACTAAAAATATTCACTCAAAGAAAATAGTGACTGAAACAGTCAGTTTGATCCAAGACAAATCTACAGATTCAGGAATCTGAGCAAACTCAAGCAAGAGAGACTCAAAGAAATTCACACCAAAACAGGTTCCGGCCAAAAGTGTGGAGTCTGGGGGTTATAACCGTTACGGCAGTGCGAGACAACAGGTGCATCCTGGAGGGAAACGGGGCCCAGGATGGAAGACACCTGGGGTCCAGCAGAAGGAACACCCACAAGAACACTCTTCTAGAATGTTCCAGTAGGAGAAATTTTAAATGTTTTCAAAGAAAGGAAAGAGTATTCAGCAGCAGCAAGCCTAACTCCAAGGAGGAACTAAAGCGACTCGTCCAGGCAGAAGGGAAATTGCAAAGGGAGAAAAACCTGAAACTCTTAAGAAGGACAAAAGTGTCTGTGCACGCCTAATATTCCCTTTTGAGTTTTGTGAATTGGCACTAAAGCAAACACTGGAATGGAACTGTGGCTCTGGAAGCGTCTGATGGAGATCTTCAAAGACCACCCCAAGTGTGGGACGTAGGAGGCAGGGTCACACCCTTCACTGCTTCTGCAGTGGACAGTAAGGGGCGTTCCAGGCCAAGTCGTCCCTCGCATCCACAGGACCCCTGCAGAGTCTGAAGACAGAGAGCCTGTGCGGGCCCTCGGCACACTCCACATCACCTCTGATCCCCACACAATGGCCATGCCGTGGGAAGACAGAGACAAAAAGTGTGCACTGGTTCAACACACATGGGCTGTTTCATTCATTTGTTTTGTTTTGAACTTGAGTTTGGTGGACCCTGACCCCATGGAAATGAAGGACAGGTTATCTGTTTGATCTGGACACACTGGAGTGTCCTACAGCACCGCCTAATGTGCAGATCAGGGGCGCAGCTGCCTGAACTGCAGGTCACAATTGGGACCCTCCATGATGGGAGCCGAGGGCGACCCTAGGGCCCAGAGCTGCAAGCACACAGCCTGCACCCACCCACAGAGCAGTGCCACACTCTGCAGGTCCCCACTTCCCTTGGTGATGGCCAGGGCTGCGAGCCTCCAGGCCCCAGAGCTGCCTGCACGTCCACTGC